AACAACAACAACAACAACAACAACAACAACAACAACAACAACAACAACAACAACAACAACAACAACAACAACAACAACAACAACAACAACAACAACAACAACAACAACAACAACAACAACAACCTTCAATAAAAGAAAAAATTCCATCAATAATAACTTCAATTGAAAATCAAAAATCTAAAATTACTGAAGAAGATGATGATGGATTTCGTGTAGTACGTTATCGTAAACATGCACCTTCATCAACAATATATTCTCCACAACATAGTTTTGGTTCTGATACTGAGAAAAAACCTGCTACTGTTCCTAAAAAACAAATATCACCAACATCATCAACATCAATTACACCTACATCAACTGTTGTACACACAACAACAACAACAACAACACCTAAGAAAAAAGCACCAAAGAAAACTAAAGAAACAACTGTTAAAACAGATATTACTTCACCTGTTGATATTCTATCACCATCAACTACTGATACTGATCTTATTTCATCATCGAAAGAAGAATCTACAAAACGAACAACAACTACGAAACATGTACAAAAAGTTATTGAATCTCAAATTACACCAAAAGATGTTTCTTCTATTCATTCGGATAAAGAAATAACAGCTTCTAAAGACGATCATAAACCAATTCAATCCATAAATCTTACTGAAATCGTACAAAAAACATCCGATGATACACAAAATCAAATAGAATCAGTTAAATCACCAACATCACCAACAGTAACAAGTGCTGATACAAGTGAAGAATTATTTAAAAAACCAAAGAAAAAACACAAACGAACGAAACGAGAACCAATGGAATTAGAAATATCGACACCATCCGATGAAATATCAAGTACAACTGATGATCTATTAACAAAAAGCTCACTAACATCTACTAGTACATCTCAAGCATTAATTCTTGATATTCCATTAACATCAACTCCAATTGAAGATAAATCTGATCAAATTCTATTAAAAGAAGAAACTTCTTTACCACAAACAATTGAATCAATAACACATATAAATGATGAACAAATTAAAACAACATCAACTAAAAAACATTCAAAAAGACGAAAGAAAAAAGTACATACAAGTGAAAAACAAGACCAAGATCAAGATTTAATAAATTCTTCGACAACTAGTACAACAGATAAAGATAGTAGTAGTGCAGCGGGATCAATAACAACACCAATGAAATCTACTTCTCTTGAATCTAGTACTAAAACTCATGTAATAACCGATGATGATAAACAAGAATCAGAATGGATAACACCACAAAATAAAAAGAAAAAATCTAAATTAATTGAATCATCCATAACAAGTGAATCGCATGAACAAAACTTATCATTCCATCCTCAATCAACTTTACAGTCAACAACAAAAATTCTACCAGAAAAAATAACTGATGTACAATTTAAATTTAAAAAAGGTGGTGAATTAACAGTAACAAGTCAATTACCATTAGAACGTTCACCAACTGAATGGGGTACAATTAAATTTACATCATCCGAAGAATCAAATCTTGTACAACAAGATAAACTTGATTCATCAATTGAACAAACTCCATCAGAACAATTACCTATTGAAAAAGAGTCAAAAATTGAACAAACAATTGATTTAACTCCTCAAATTGATGATAAAACTAAAGTCGAAACACCAACAAAATTAACGGAAAGTAGTGAAACCGGTGGTGAAGCTGATTTAGATGCATATCGTGACCAAACAGGTCGTCTTCGTCGAAAAAAATCACGTAAACATACAAGTACATCAACTAAACCTGATAATATACCTTCGACTCTTGAATCACAAACATCCGAAGAAATAAAACTTGATCATGAAACTATAAGTGAACATTGGGCTGCTGTTTTAGCAACTCCTATATCGAATATCGATGAAGAACAAAAAATTCAAAGTGAACAAGTTCATGAAGAACACTCATTTGAAGATGATGATACTAGTGACAGAAATAGTAAATTAGATTCATTTTTACCTGAATATATTCGTCAAACGATACAAACAAAATCATCACTACGTTCATCATCATTAAATGATGATCGTTCTAAATCATCACCATCATCTCATCAAACATCAACATCTATAACACATACACGTTCAACAGGTATTGTATTTCCATCAGCATCAAATCGATCAACAACAAGTACTGATACATCAGAAAATGAAAGTCGAAAACATTTACAAGAATCACATGATGAAGAAATTCATTCAACAGAAGATTCAAGTTTTATGTCAACAACAAATCAAACAGAACATGATACAATACTAACATCATCTTCATTGCCTTCAACTAGTAGTGCAACACGTAAGAAAAAACAACGACCAAAAATGTTAAAAAAAGATATTGAAGCTAAAACATTATTAACACATGAATTTGATGATACACCATTAACAATAACTGAAATTTACCCATCATCATCATCATCATTACCAACAGAAACAATAAATAAAGATGATGAATCATTTTTATCATCTATACGTCATCAATTTACTTCGGCTATATCAACAATAACCGATTCATTTAGTTCTGCACTTTCTCTTCATAAACCAACAACAACAGATGATCAAACAATTGTTCAATCTGATGAGCCAGTGCCATCAACAGAAGAACAATCAATTATACCTATTACAACATCTATTGAATCTACAACCGTAACAATAAAGAAAAAACCTTCAACACGTTCACCACGTAAACGTTCAAAACGAGATAGTGGTCCTGATTATGAAAATCTAACAAGTCCAACATCGGATGATGTTGAACAATCATTTGCTGGTATTAAAGTTGTTACAACAGTTCCAACATCAATTGATAATGATCAAACAGATTTTATTAAAGTTGAAACTCATAAACAACAATCAAGACAACGAACATTATCTGGTCGACATTCATCAAATACTGAAGAAAAAAATGAACAACAAGCTATGTTAGCTGATGATGAAGAAGATGAAGATTTTGCAACAAAACCTGTTGTATTACATGGAAGTGGTAGTGGTGCAAATATTCAAACACCAATTGAATCAATTATTGAACAACAAGAGTCATCTTCAACAACAACAACTATAGTAACAAAAAGAAGACGACATAAACAAAAGAGTAAAACTGAAGAAGTTGAATTTATTGCACAAGTACCAGATGAATTAAAACCTGAGGAACAAGTTACAATATCTGATCAACAAACAACAACGACGACAACGAATGAACAATTACGACCAGTTCAAGGTTTTCATTCTTATACACCAAATAAATATCAATATAATCAATATGAAGAAGGATTAACTAATTCAAATGAACAATCATCATTACCACCAGCACCAACAGTAGCAGTAGCACCAGCACCAGCACCAGCACCAGCACCTGCACCAGCACCAGCACCAACATCAGTAGCAGCAGTAACAGAACATAATGATGATATTCTTGCACGTGGTTTTAATATTTGGTTACAACAAAGCAAAGAAATTGAATCGACACCATCATCAACATTAAAAAAAGATGAATCATCAGCACTAGGTGGTGGCTTAACACGTGCTATGCAAAGTCTTATTATTCAACCAATTGAAAGTGATAATGACGAAGAAGAAGAAGAAGAAGATTCATGGAATGGACCACGAGCTAGAAAACCAACATATGCATCAGGTGTTCGAATTGATAAACGTATTCATACAACAAGTGGATATAATATAAATCATCCACGTTCAATAACTGTTTCACCATGGTTAATGCCACAATCAACTGAAAATTCCTATCAAGATGATCAATCAAAATATGATCCAGATGATCAATCAAAATATGATCCAGATGATGAAGAAGATTCAATGAATGATGTATCAGAAAAACAACAATTATCTCATCCTATTAGTACACAATTATCAACTAAAGAAGAACGACAAATGCATTTAAATAATTTAGCTGATTTATCAGGTCAAGCAATATTAGGTAATTTGTCATCATCATCATCATCACTATCATCAGCAGCTAAATGGAATGAAACATCTATACGTAGTGAAGATAATAGTCAACAACAAACAAGTTTTACTGATGATGATGTACAACGTTGTTTAGGAGAAGATTTTTATCGTGAATCATTAGCTGCAGATACACTTCAAGCTGAACAACGAACTATAACGAGTTTAGCTGGTCTTGTTTTAAAACCATCGCTATTATCAGAAGAAACAGACAATGATGAAAATGAAAATGATAATGATGATGATGATGATGATGGTCAAAGAAATAGAAATAATAATAATAATAATAATAATAACAATAATAGTAGTAGTCATTCACTTAATTTCGATGAATGGGCACATTTTCTTGAATTTGAATATGATCAACAATTGTTTTCATCATCTGCACCATCATCATCGACTATTGAACACAATTTATTAACATCATATGAATGTTCCTATGCACGAGAATTAGATGAAGATACTCTTATATCGGATGCTGATCGGTCACATGTGATAGATTATGTAGAAAATACAAATGACAATGACAGACAACGCTATGGAGATTTTACATCATTAGATGACGATTCTATTGTGCCCGAATCAATGATTAATTGTCCTTTATCATCATCAAATCCAAATTCACAATTATCACATACACATAAACCTTCCGAAACTTTTCAAAGATGGCGAAATCAATCAAATCGTGATCGAGAAGAATCGACTTCAAACTTAACAAATGTAACAATATCAACAGAAAATCAAAATGACGATGAAATATTTATATATCATACAGACGGTGGTCTTAGTCGACGAGTGAGACCAACAACATAAAATATTTACTGATTTCCTTTACTTTTCCCTTTTTTTTTTTTACCTTCTCACCTCACCTATTCTTTGCCTTTGTCTTTTCTTTTTTCGTTATCTGTTTTTTTTTCTTTAATCTTTACTCACTCTATCTCTATCTTCTATTTTCTTTCTTATATCGCTCTTTAATCTAGTCGATCAACAGATTCATTCTTAACTGAACAGACAATTTCATACGCAAGAAAAACTTCTTCTTAATTATCAAATCGCCTATGGCAAATCAAAATACAAACGGATACATTTTATCTAAACATTCCGGTCTGGGTTTTACGTGTCAATGTACTTTCAATCATAATTTTGAAGAACACTGATAAAGTATTCTTCATATCTTTGCTATATTAATGGCAAGTATTATTGTTTATTATCTTTATTATTATTTAAACTGTTTTCTATTATTGAAATCGGTGACATTATTGTTTATTTTTTTCTATTAATTTCAAAACATGCGAAGGCATAAATAGATCTTCGTAAAACAAGCAAGCATATCTATATCCTTTATACAACATATGGATATAGTCAGTTGATTATAATTATTATATTAGTTGTTATTTGTTATATTATTATATCATGCATGAATTATTCGAATAAGATTATTTTTTATGTTATTAAACAATAATGATATTAAAAATTATTAAATGACACGAATACAAGAAGAAGTTATTATTATAAGAAAATGAACTATTAAAATAAACATTTTTCATATCGTGTAATTCTTTTTATACTGTTTTTGATTTTTGCTTGCGTGTACCACATGCGAAATACTACTTGCTTGTGCTCTGTATTTGTCAATTTTTTTTTCTCCCTCTGTCTGTTATTCACTCATTCATCACACACAGTGTCACATTTCGTTTGTTTTTTTTTTGTTTTGGCTTTTACGTGTTCTGTTGGCTTTTTTTATTCATTTTTAGTTGAGTTGATTAGATTAAGAGAGAAAGAGAAAGTGAATAATAATATAATAATAAAATTTGAAACACTTGCAAAATACAAAAGAATTTATATGCTTATTCAATACATATATGTATATATCTCTATACTTAAACATTGGATCAATTTTCATCCTCCACATGTATTTATCATCGATGAGCAATTATCGGATTCGTATGGATCGAATATCTCTTTTTAATCCTCCTTTTTTTTTAATGTATTACGTCAATGTTATCCTAGAGTTGTACGCTCATAGCACATACATATTCGTGATAACGCACGTTAGATGCATATACGATGTTATTCATGATTTAAACGCAAGAATTTGCTCTTTTCTTTTATTATGAAATTATATGCAAATTCAATATAATGTTCTATAAAAAGAAACCCGCAGTGAACACACACACTTGTTACTTTGATCAATCACACGTTGTACCACAAAGGTGAAAAAAGTTAATGAATAAAGACAAGAGGGTTTATCACATGTATTCGATGAATTACATGTCTTTATTGAATTGCATAAATAAATATTTGTCTTCATGATAAAAAAAAAAAAAAATTATAACATTTTTTAAATGAGCTATTTATAATAGAGAAAGAAAAAATTCATAATAAAATTTTTCATACACTAACATTCTTCATGTAACTATTAGAAAAAAAACGTCAATTATATCTGTAAGTTTTTTTTTTCTTTATTTCAATCTTTGTTTGTCCATATTATTTGATGATACATCTGGCTGTTGATTGTGACGTATGAAACGCTTTTGCATATGTCAACAACCATTGACTTCGGTTTAGCGAGGTCGACATGTCTATAGTTCTTATTGATGATGATGATGGCGACGACAACAACAACTAGTAAAATAATCGACAACCAACACTTTTGATAGATGATTTTTATGGATAAGCATAAGTATGATTGCCAACGAGCGAGGTCTATGTTGAAAGCTTCATTGCTCTTCCGAGTTTCATATGTTCTATTTTTACATATATCTGCGTAGTTTTGTTCCTCGTTTGTACGATTACAACATGGAAGAAAACAATAACTGCATCGAAAGAAAGAAAGAAAATGCATGCATGATATAACCATTTCTTTTCTTGTACTAAGACATTTTTTAGTGTAATACATAGAAGAAGAAAGCAAGGATATAGGTAGAAGAGAATTCATCGCATTCATTCACACATCTATCATATGAATGATTTGTATTCTCGACTTTTTTTTCTTCAATACAATGATAATTAGTGAAATACTAATAGAAATCCTTCATGTCAAATTAAATTAAAGTTTCCATTTTATTCGACAATTATTATTACTTATATGTATATTTATCGCAAAAACGACGATAATAGAAATATATTTTAATTTTAACATTCAAATTGGCACTAGACTGCTGAATATCACGGTAAGTAAATGGTATATATATACACACATGTATTCTCCGATTGCTGCTACCATTGCATTGAATTCACATGTGGTTTCAGTATATAAACGAAAAAAAAAAAAGAAGCAATGGATGGCAAACGTTGCATTGAAAGAGAACGAACTATAACATACGTAAAATTTTGAGGAGAGAAGAGAATAGAATAGAATTGTCGGATCAATTTATTTCGACAGTATTGAAGTGAAGGTTTCTCACGCCCACTGGATGTGCTTATCAATTGGTTGATTTCTTTTTTCTTTTCATAAAAAGGTATTTTCTTAATTTATTACAAATAGAAAAAGAAAAGTTTTATACATAAGTATGATCTATTGGATATAATTATTCTCGTACCAGAATTCATTTTTTTTTGGCTCTAATATTACATCATTTATCATCAATGGATTTGTTACTAGTTGTACCATTTACTCGATTCAGTATCCAACTGAGTGAAATGGGCCAATCCGGATTTCTATTACATCTTTGCTTGATAATGGAAAATACTAAGATAAAGAATATATTAGAGAACAAGAAAGAAAGAAAGAATAAACGATAGTTCTTATGTTCATCGAATCCTCCCCCGTTGTCTTTACTATACATATATAGATATATATATGGATATATTTCTCTTGATTGTCTGTCTATATATATAATGATGCTCTTTTCCTACAAGTCGACAACGAAAAAGAATGACAATCTGTAATAATACTCCCGTCATCTTTTTCGTCGTCATTTATCCTTCCTTTTCGTCGTCGTAGTCGTCATCTTTTGTTTCTCGCATATAAACGCCCGCACATACTTAAGTGTAACAGAATGAAAAGAGCCTGTTATATGGTTTTAAGTTCATAAAACACGCAAAGAAAGATATGAGGTGATTGATTTCGTTTCATTACCTGTCTTCTTTGCTGTATACGCTTTTTTCCTCATCGTATACTTTCACACTGTATATATATATATAAATGCTTGTCGGAAAATGGTGATGTATGATACAGTGATACCTTCAACAAATTCAACAAAAATTTTTTATATTGTACGAGAAGAAACAATATATACATATGACAGAGATGACAATAACAATAATGATGATATATCATCAACAGGTAGGTTTAATTTTTAAATAATTTAATAAATGAAAAAGAAAAGGATTTGTTTGTTTGTTTTGTTTTTCAAATTTCCAGACGAAAACGAAATTCATATCAAGGTTTAAATTATAGTCTAATCCTTTTTGAGTAGACACTTAGTCATTTGAGAACAGGATCACTGAATATATATATATATGTCTAAACAATTATTGTTGAAGAAGGAAGACAAGTGTTTCATGAGTTAAGTGAATGTTCTCATGTTGACTGTCTTGTCTTTCTTGTGCTCTATGTCTGTCTAATCCTTGCCTCTCTTTCTAAGTAATCCTCGATTAATATTAGTCATATGATCGTCATCATCATCTCCCGACAGCCACAAAATAATGTGCTGCTGTGCAGATAGCATCCGTCACATCATTTAATATGATTGCGAGCGATCACCTTGCCATCATATGCACGTACTGTATACGTTATAGAAGTGTTCGTGTTCTCTTCTCTTTCTTGTTCTTTTTTTTTCTGCTGTTGTTGTTTTTATTATGGCAATAGTACTGGGTGCGAGACGATGCTGCTTCATCTTCTTCTATTTTTTTTTTCTACATACATCTTCTATTCAGACTGGATATGTATGTATGGCAAGAGGAAGAGATAGAACAAAAGAAAGAAAGAGAAGATATGGAATTGTACAATGACAAGAACAAATCCCTTCTGTTTTCTTTACTATGCGAATCGACGCATATTCGTCTTCCGCATCTTTCTCTCATAGTGTAACCAAAGATAAATGTTTATTTTGTGCGTTGAAGCTCAGTAAGAAAAGAAGTGCAACAAGTCATCTTATTCGTTAAACAGAATATTACTTAAATACTAATACTATATCATGAGTCGATAGTCGACAAATCTCATATATATATAAATCTATATTTTTTCACGTTTATTTATTCTCTTGAGAAAAAAACTTGCTAGGTAAAACAAGACAAAAGAATTAATTTATATACATATATATATATATATAAATAATTGTTCTTTTTGTTTTTAGACACGCCCGAGACTATGAATATTAATCAATCTTTATCTTCTTCTTTATCTCGATCACTAAATGATCCTGTACATGAACAACATATTATAAAAGAAGAATCACATTTAGAACGTAATGTACCGGAAAGTTATCATCATTCATCTTATGAATATATATCTTCGGGTATTGGGGAAGGAAATATTAATCAATTGTCACCTTCAACGAATCTTTCCTCTCATCAACTAACATCATCTCCATCACAGAAATATCCTAATAAATATGTCACATCATCATCTTATAGTCCAACATCTTATCGATATCCGCCAACATCGATCATTGATGAATCAACACATACGAGTTATTCAAACAATCGATCAACACAACAACAGCAACAACAACAACAACAACAACAACAACAACAACAACAGCAATTATTAACAAGTCCACATTCAACATTTGTTCCTCAACATAATAATAATAATGCGAATCGTCATTCATTACATCCAACAACATCAGATGATTCAGGAAACGAATCACCTGCAAATTATCAACAACATTTAACAAATAATACACATTTTGTTGTTGTTGCTATTGATTTTGGTACTACATTTAGTGGTTATGCATTTGCATTTACACGAGATATTGACTCAATTTTAATGATGCGTAAAGTCGACGGCAATGATCCCGGTTTGTGCCTATTATTATTGTTGTTGTTGAGATTTCTTTATCAATATTTCGTTCTCTCTTTCTTTCTTTCTTTTTGAATAGGTGTAATAAATCAAAAAACGCCAACGACAATACTTTTAACACCAAGCTTAGAATTTCATTCATTTGGTTTTTTTGCACGAGATTTTTTTCATGATCTTGATCCAGATGAAGCAAAACGATGGCTTTATTTTGAGAAATTTAAAATGCATCTTCATTATATACAAGTAAGAGTATATATTTTCTGTTCGACCTTGTTATCAGTGTGAATCCTTGAACAGACAAGAGATTTGTTCTGTTATAGAATAGAGGTTACAATCATTATGCAAGAAAATAGCAACATATATAGATATGTAAATACATACTCAATAGATCATCTGTTACGTCATCAAGAACAGCATGATAGTAACTGACGACCGTTTAATAGAGCTATGAAGAAAAGGCACAATCACATAATTAATATTTTTGTCTTCTCTGATTTTTTTTTGTTATTCTATTCTTTGCTCGTGTAATTACACTTCTTCGCTTGAGAGCAAAACAAAGGAAAAGAATGACTTTTGCTAATGAACAACAGATATCAGCAGCTGTTCGAATAAACAATGCACATGTCACTTTCTTTTTCTCATCTTTTTTTCTCTTTTTATACAATCCATCCAGCAAAGACAACATACATAGATAACTACCATATAGTCTACAACATGTTTGTGTTTGCTGACGCGAATGCAATTAAACATAACAGTTGTGTGTACATGTATATAGTTATATAATCAAATTTTTGTTCGAAAATTTCATTAATTTTTGTATATCTATTCATTTGTTTGTTTTTTTCTTAAAATAGGATCTTAATACACAAACATTAATTGCAGCAAGTAATGGTCGAAAAGTTCCAGCATTAACGATATTTACATATGCATTACAATATTTTAAAGAACATGCTTTACGTGAACTTAGTGATCAATCTGGTACAAGATTTGTTAATGAAGATGTTCGATGGGTTATTACAGTACCAGCTATATGGAAACAATCAGCTAAACAATTTATGCGTGAAGCTGCCTATCAAGTTCGTATTAAGGAAATATAATCATTTAACAAAAGAAACCAATCTTTTCGAATATTTAGGCTGGTATTGCATCACGTGAATTTCCTGAACAATTACTTATTGCTTTGGAGCCCGAAGCAGCATCAATTTATATACGTAAACTAAGAATGCATCAATTTGTTCCTGATGAAACTCCAACATTTTCACGTAATGCGGTAAGACGTGAACATGGTATATTTTCATCATCATTTTCTGATCAATCATCACCAATACTTCTTGATCCTGATAAAAGTTAGGAAATAAATATTCGATTAGTTTTATTTTTGCTGTTTACTTTATATTATAGTACCAGCTGATCCAACAGAATCTAATTTAAGTAATCAAACATTTGAATTAGTTCTTGATCGTGGTACACGTTATATTGTTGTTGATTGTGGTGGTGGGACAGTTGATATAACTGTACATGAATTAGACAATAAAATGGGTACATTAAAAGAATTATATAAAGCAACAGGTGGACCTTATGGTTCAGTTGGTATGTTCGATTAAAAAAACTCAATGTTTTTTTTTTCTAAACAAAAATTCGTTTCATTTGTTTGTTTTTTTTCTTTTATTCAAAGGTGTTGATCAAGAATTTGAAAAATTAATGAATTCAATATTTGGTGTTGAAATAATGGATGAATTTAAATTAAAACGACCAGCTGGTTATGTAGATTTAATGATTGCATTTGAAGCACGAAAACGTACAGCGAGTCCATTTAAAAATAATCCATTAAATATATCATTACCATTTTCATTTATTGATTTTTATAAGAAAAAAAAAGTAAATTTATTTTCTTTTATTTATTATTATGCGCATGCTCCTTAAATAAGAAGAAGCTTTTCTTTTTTGACTTTCCTGTTTTGCTTGTGATTTATTTATTTATTTATTTATTTTATTTTTTTTCCTGTTCCCATTTTCCTTGGCACATAGCTTTTAGAGCGATGATCTTATAAAAAAAAAACATTAGGACACCATAAAACACGTCTGTATCCTTAGTTATTGTCGAGTCTTCCTCTGAAAAATCAAGTGCGTGCGTATGTGGCCAAACTCAACAAGGTGGGAATGAATGTTTTGTATAATTATATATCTTTTATTTCTCGCCTTATTTATCTATTTATATTTTTTTTTTGGTTGTCTGTCTGTTTTCATTTTCCCTATTTGGTTTGATTCGAATCGAATATTATTATTGTAGCTTTTTCTTCCTGCACTTCTCGTTTCATTGACGAAAATAGAATTTCAGAGAATATTTTCAATTAGAAGAGAGCACTTTTCCCCTATTTTTCACGCATGAATATTTGTCATTTTTTTTTATTGTCGTGTAAAATAGAAGAGCATGAAACGAGGAAAAAAAAAACAAAAAGAAAACAGAAAATTTTACTTTAGTTAAATTTTATTTTCTATTTTCATGTAGGGTTCAACAGTTGAATCAGCTATACGTCGTTATAATGATCCGGATATAAAATGGTCAACGCAAGGAATGATGAGATTAACACCAGAAGCTATGAAACGTCTTTTTCATCCAACAATTGAAAAAATTAAAGCAACTATTGGAGAAGTATTGAATACTCCTGATGTTAAAGGTATATGGAACAATGTATATGTATATAGTTCAGAGAAGAAAAAAGAAATAACTATTTTATATTTAAGGTATTCAATATCTGTTTCTTGTTGGTGGTTTTGCTGAATCACCAATACTTCAACATGAAATTCGTCGAGCTTTTTCATCTATACTTAAAGTGATTATTCCTCAAGATGTATCATTAACAATTTTAAAAGGTATTATTTCAATTGAATGAAAAGAGTTTAAAAAAAAAGAAAAGAAAAACAATACATATAATTTATTTAAAGGTGCTGTTTTATTTGGTCTTGATCCAACTATAGTAAATGTTCGTCGTTCACGTTTAACATATGGAGTTTCTGTACTTAATCGTTTTATACCAGATTATCATCAAATTGAAAAGAAAATTGTTAAAGATAACATTGAATGGTGTGCTGATATATTTGATAAATTTGTTCTTGTTGATCAATCAATTGGTCTTGGTGATATTGTTATAAGAAAATATACACCAGCAAGACATAATCAAGCACAATGTATTATTTCATTCTATTGTTCAGAATCGGATAAACCAATTTATGTAACTGATCCGGGTGTAAGAAAAATTGGTAATATAAAAAATAAAATAAATTATATGATTTTAAATATATTTAATTACTTTGTGGCGTTTTTTCTTATAGGTACACTTGTTCTTGATATGTTTTATAATGGATATTCTTTATCAGATTATCAAAGTATATTAACAACTAATAAAAATCAAAGACGTGAAATTCAAACACGAATGGTTTTTGGTGATACTGAAATAAAAGTAAGCGCATTGGATGTTACAACAGGCAAATGTGTTCGAGCTACAATTGATTTTTTAAATAAATAATCTTTATCTTATATTGACAGTATCATTGTATATAAAAATAAATAAATATATATATATTTATAATTAGAGAATTGCTCTCAGGGCATCTCTACATATTGACATATAGTCAAATATTGATCAGTAGAGAATGAAATTAAAAAAAAACGAGAGAGAATTATTCGAACGAAGCTATTTTCATTGGATTTGAACGTGTTTTTTTTTTCTTCTTGTTCTTGTGTGATTTATCTTTTTTTGCTTTAATTTTTCTTTTCTTTCGTTTTTGAACATGTAGCCCGCTTTTTTTTTGTTTATGTTTGTAAGCAATATGCATTTTTCTTTTTATGTTTTGTTATTAAAAAAAAAAAAAAAGAAGTAGAATATATCTTGAGTAATGTTATACAACGTTCTTTTTTTTATTCATATATATATATAATATGTTTTGTCTCTCGCTCTCTTTTTTTTTCTTCTACACATTCGTCATCGAACATTGAAATTTTATGGCTTTTGTTTTTCTTTGTTTTTGTCTTCTACTACTTATTCAATTCTTTTTTTTGTTCTTGCTGGTTAGACAGATAATATTTCACTAAAATGAAACGAGAGTAACGAACAACAATAACAGAATTTCTGTTTTCTAATATAAAGAACAAAGCTTATCTTATTAAGCATCGATGACCTTTGAAAAGAATGTCATATAATGAATATCATTGTTTTTTAATAGTGTTTAAGATTTGAAACTGATTATGTCATAGTCTAATGGAAATAATATGTTATTGACAAAAACTGTCACGATAATAGATGTACAATGCTAGACAAAAGCAGTCGCCTTCATGAGTCGTTACTATCTTCTATGATATCAAGCTGATATTTGGGGTATATGTGTATGACGATAAAGATTGATTGTAACCATTAAACCGCGCTGCGTTGGTTTTTAAATCATATAGACACAAATGTTTTCGTAGAATTTGACATTCGAAAATTTACTATCATATGTATCTCCAGGCTGAAGTTTGCTAATAAATCACATAAAACTAACAGAGATATTGTTATTTCATTAAGAATGTGTGCTGAAGAGTAAATGTTGGTTTTTAATAAAATTAGTGTTTTTTCGCCGTGGTTTTGACAAATTTATTTTAAAATTAGAGCAGAAAGTTCTGCTGAGAAGATGATTCTGTGTTGAAAGTTTTAGACTTGTCATATCTAACAATATTGAATTAGCGCTACGATATAGGTTTGCTATCGTAGAATGTACTAATTACTTTGAACTTGACTATGTGTCACCGGTTTGGATGATAATAAATTACACATATGGAATTATCTTTAGTACTAGAAAAAAGAACGTTAACAACTTGTTCAATAGCTAAATGACAAACGAACGAAACATTTTTTGAATACATATTTTCATTGAATGTTTTTTTTTTCAAGGAAAGACAATATGTGAATTCTAACTCCAATACATGAAAATCAATAGAGAATGAATTGATGTTTGCGATCAAAATTTATTGTCGCATGCATTTACCCAAAATAGAAATTCTATACTAGAAAGAATAGTAGGATTCCACGGAGTCGAAGCATCTGTTTGTATCCAGGATTGTATGTAAACCTACTAGCTTCAATGATATTTTGCCAAACAAGATAATTTCTATATTTGGGTTTGTCTACTAAATTGACTCACATCAAAATGTATACTAAGAAAATCATAGCTACAAATAAATTAATCAACAAAAAAAATATTCGACTATTTGGTACGAAGAAAAAAAAAATCTGGTATTTGATGAATTTATACATGAGATGCATCTGCACTTTGTTTATTTTATTCTTTTAGGTCATGTATAATTCGTCCTTATATTTTTCTTTCTATAGATGTTGAAGGCTTTATTGTATAGTGTATCTATTTCTTACTTGACCTACTTTTTTTTTTTGTTTTTTCTTAACTTCTGTCGTTTTGATGAATTTTATACCACAAAAATATCTCTTTTTTCTGTAATGTAAGCCAAGTCGTGTTTGTGTGACTGTCGCGTTCTTGTCAATCACTGAGAAATCCTTTATGTTAGGTAGTTAAGAACTACTTAAGCTTTGTATTCTCTTGCTTTATTGAATTAGATAGATACATGAGAATATGTAAATATCATTGTACAATGAAAAACATATATTTAATATTAGAATTAATACTAACAGAAATGCTGTCTAATTTGATATATTTTTTTGCATTTTTGACGATTTCATATGGCATACTTCTGTTGAATGAAGATTAAAAAAGAGAATGTAAATAAAAAATGGTGAATACTGTATTTCCGAGATTTCTATTATTATCTTATCTGTATCATTTATATTTCTTAGATATCTATCTTTTTTTCGACCTTAGACATGCTATCTACAAACCTTCACTAGATCATGGAACTATAGTAAAACTGTCATATTTTACACCAAGAAAAGTAACCTTATCGTCAATAGAAATCTAGACATACCATTTTCTGAGATATATATCGAAGCAACTGACATAAAAGACTCATTTCATTTACAAGAAATATCAAGAACAATGTCGCATATACTTAATTTATTGAACCGGCCAATGAACTTATTTGAGTTGATTGATTGACGTATCATTTCTACCAGATGTCAAATGCTGCAATAGTGTTGATAACTTCTGTTTTCTTTTTGTATTCATCGTCACGTAACGATATTTAATGGCAAGCAATGAACCTCCTGATGAAATATGATGATGTAATTCTTACGATATATTTCATATTAAAGTCAGAATTATACTTTGATTAATCATTCTAGAAATAATACTGTACGTTATTTTATGAAGCTTTTCGAAAATTCTATTTCTTGTTATTATACTATAAACGAATGTATTTGACAAAAAAAAGTCATTGTCCTTGTGAATTCTAAAGCAATATTGATAATATTAGTGACAGACAAACAATAAAAATAGTTTACAACCTTTAAGCTTCTCTTATCAATATTATGGTGTGTAAGAAGGTCATATAATGCATTAACGACTAATGTTTTGTAAGAAGTATCTTGTCATCATAGTTTATTATACTTTGAAAAGTACAAGGATAAACTCATTAGAGTCTATATGAAATCAGATTCGAATCCTAAGTTTTGATTTTATGAATGCATCTCTATTAGAATTGTATCAACAATCTTGTGAAGAGTTATTGATCGAATAAAAAATCGTAAAAAGAAGGTTTCAATCTTTGTCGACGTTATGTTCGAAAATAATTCGAAACATTTTAATGAATTTACTGTTAAAAATTAATAAAAACTTGCTGAATGCTGTAACTAATAAGAATATGTAGTAGTAAGGAAAAAGAAATGTTTTTTTTTATACTTGTTTGTTTGATAATATCTCAATAGATATATAAATGTCAGCTAGGAGAGTCTCAAGCAGTTCCTCACATATGATACAAATAAGCTATTAAATAACTATGAAAAATAGTATCAAGAAAGATGTATTTATCTATGTGGTTAGAAGAACAATGAGTAAGAAACTTAGATAATCATATGTGTCTTTCAAATTACAACTGTCCCCTCAAGATCGTATACTACATTATCATATGAAGACTTAGGCAATGAAAAGAAATTCGACTGATACGTTAATTTATGTTAATCTTAATTAAAGATACAATAAGAGTGATAAGCTATCTATAATTTAATTATTTATCTTAATTAAGAAATCATTTTCAAATATCACATTGAAGAGTAGCTAAATCATTGAACAAAATAGCATCTTAAAAAAGGTAATTGTGCTTTAGCATTATTATGGCATTCTACGGTAGATATAAGTCATAATATGAGGAGAGCAACTGTCGTCGTATGTTTGATTAGTTATTCACTGTTTCGTGTCTCAGACTTAATCATAAAATCATTTGAATGAGAGAACAAAACCAAATTCGAACGATTGAAACTCAATAGATTTTTTGACTTTTGATATAAATAAAGCAAAAGTTGACAATCAATGATTTATAATTATCGTACCATTATCTGTATGAATGATGAATTCTTTTGAAATTTAAACAATTTTATCCTAGTTAAGTCAGTAATTACTTCTATTACTTTTTAAAAATTTATCGTCATTATGAGATAAAAATTCGTCTATTGACAACGTAAGCGTGTCAATAGAAGATATTTATACAGACATCTGAGAATCATCAATATCAACATAAAGAGACGTTGTTTATATATGCAAGTACTCAGCTTTGACATTTTCTCAATGATAATAATAATTTACAAAGTCAACGATAAGTTTTTTCGATAATTTTGACTGTAGACTGCTAGAAAAAAAAACCTTTTTCTATCTAAAAGCGTATGGATTATCAAGCTCTACTGTGTACCATTGACATGTCAACGGTATGCAGTAGAGTTTGATAATACATACGTCATTATATAGATAAGATCTTTGTCTACAAGCCTCCATATATCCTGTTCTGTAGTCAAAAACCTGACAGCCTCTTATATTGTATTTTGGTAGCTGCATAAGATTAAGAACTCAAGTCATTTGTCAAGCATACAATAAAGATGCTCATAATTTGATCATCACTATACATTAGTCGACAACGTTCTGATAGCCTATTTTAAGAGTATATAATTTAATATTTATGCGTTTGTACTTTTTTTCTGGACAGACTGTTTGTCTAAGTTTCAAACGAATGAAATACTTTGAGAGAAATGTATATTTCTACACGATGTATATAACGTGTTCCTACGAGTATTTAGCATTCGGAGAATTCAATACATATTCGCTCATTTCAAATCTGTGCTTCTCATTAACAAAAAAAAAGACAAATACAATGTTGATCTGAATTATTCATTACTCATGTGTTAGTAGAACAGGTACACAACTCTAAATTTTTACATCTGATTCATAAAATAATTAGACTCGCTTCTCGTATTTCATTTGGTTGACTTCAAATGTTTATTCTTAATTAAGTAAAATAGTAGAACAGTTGTTTTGTTCTGATCAATTGATATGTCGTGTACTAACAAATATTAAGAAATGAATCAATTACCATGACCTTGAATGGACAACAATTTTCGTATAATCTTAAATTTAGGAGTTAATGTTATATCGATGTAATGTTTCTTTGCCGATCATTATATGAATGTTATTGATGTTTTCTTATATTTTTCAGTGTACACTTCTTCGAAATATTTATTTGGAATTCTATATAACACTTAAATTAGTGTTTTAATTTGGTTTCATGCAGGAAATTTAATGCAAACATATACTGACGTGAAAAGCGAACTTTTTTTCATTTATTATGAGCACTTTTACTAAACTGTTAAGAAATTAGTTTTTCCTTCATCACCCTTTTTTTTTCATCTTGTTATTTTTTTTTTCTTGTATTATATGTATTTTTATGTATATTTACAGAAACCATTCAATGACAGTTATTAAGCCTTACATATTGATAGCTGCAATATGATCAAGCTCGTGTACAAATTTCTTTTGAAAGAGAAAAATAAATTCTAAAATAAATTTAAAATATTATAGAGAATTCACCTACAACTTCATTTTTAACTATAATCGATATGTCAATACACAGAATAAATCGTTCAAAGAATAGAATGAAGAAATTTGATGAGAAAATTCTGAAAAAATAATAGCATCAGAAAATTTAAATGTTTTTTTTACAGTTATATTTTAAATTCGATTGATGAATAACAGTATTAACTTCCACAGAAATATTTAATGAAACAAGAAATTAATAGATATTTGATTGGTTTCATTTTCTTTAAAACAAAATCACAATTATATTAAAATATATAAATAACACCTTCAGTAATAGTTAGGATAGTAGACAAACATTTGAACGAAAATCTTTCAATATGATTACATTTGTATAAGAATATATTGTCTGTAATCACTATATTAATTAATAATTTAAACGATTATCTAAATCTAAAATTAAGAGCCATTGCCTGTAAGAATCACGGACTTTGGGAAGTGACACATCTCAGAACGGCCAGAAAATTCCAGGGTATAGAGAACAAGTTGTCCTGATTCCAAAAATAGAATATTTTTTAAGTACTCATAAGGTAATAAAAAAGTTATGGCTGCCTGAAAGTGCTCAAAATGGGTAAAAATCGATTTTTTTAAATTGTCGAAAAACATTTTTGATATGCCAAGAGTGTAGAGTTCGTCGAGCTGATCATTTTTTACATTGGCAATATTTCTCTAGAACGTAAGCTTCNGCATCAAAGTTTTCTTCCGATCTGAACCCGATAGAATCTACTCATGACACACGTTAATAAGTTGACTTAAAATAGTTAAAACATTTTAGAGGATAGCTTTGACATACACTTGGAGTACGGTGAACTACGAAATTTTCTCTTTTCATCTCTGGAATAGTACTCAGTAGCTGATTCTATAAATATTGTCCCTGTTAACCTTTTCTTATTGTTATATAAAACTCTCCCTTTTATTGTGTCGAAAAATAGATATTCTTGACATTATCATAAAAATCGACGCATATTACATTGAATAGTTTGCTGTCAATAATTTTCTATCATTGATACTGTTTTAGTACTATTTAGATATGAGTAGTCAACATAGTGAAGTACGAATTGTTGAAAATCCGAATAAACTCTATGAATATAGTAAAAATGTTCGACTACCAGTATGTAAAATGTCTTTGTTAATCAAACAAAAAAATTATTTATCTCTTATAGCAGAAACCAGTACCAACAACATCTCGTCCTGCGAAATTATATGAAGAAACCAAATCAACAATAGATATTCCATTCGATTGTAAGCTTTTATTATAAAACTAAATAAATTCTTCATTAAAACTTTTAGTATCATCTTCATTGGGTCTTAATTATCCAGCTAGTTGTCCAAATAATTCTTTCTGGTTATATTCATATTAATCCAAATGAATCATTTAAACAGAATTGTGTTTTATCATGTACATCTCTTTGTTTATATGTAATTCGTGGTCATAGTACAACAAAAATATTTGTTGAAGGACAAGTTAATTGGTTAATAGGTGATCTTCTTGTTATTTCATATCAAACACAATCATTAGAATATTTCGCACACAATGATACAGCATTTTATTATGTACATGATGGACTATTACTTAAATATCTTCGAGTAAAACCACATCAGAAAAATCTTTTTTAAGAAGAATTTTTCGAGAAAATGTTTTAAAAAATTAAAGTAGAAAATATTCGAGAAAAACCAGGTAATGAATATACTAATCGATTAGGAACATTGATTGAAAATTCAAAAAAATATGAAACAAAAACTTTAACACAAACATTATGGGCATTATTAAATATTTTACTAACGAATTCAACGCAAAAACTTCATTGATAAATGAAATATTTTTAGATTCAACAAACAAACAATAAAAGATTAGTTTTTTTTTGTTATTTTATTAAAGACATAATCCAGTAGCGTTAGATCTGGTAACATTTGCACCGAAAGAAAAATGTTAAACATTGATTGGTGAGGATTTAGATGAAAATGATCAAATTCAATCACTAATACGTTTAAATTGGGAAATCAGGTGCAGCATTTACAACACCACTTAGTATGTGACATTCGCATCGTAATGAATCTGAAGATGAAGATGCATGGATTTTACCAAATCAAGATGCTGGTCTTTCACTACATCAAGTCAAATTTCTTTGACGTTTTATTTTTATTTAATTTTAAAATAATGTGTTTGTTTTTTTTTTATTTTCTTAAGGGATTGTATGATATTCCATTTGCTGATGAAGAATGGAAATATTTAAAAGATAAACATACAATTAAAAGTATAATGTATTAATTTTTTCATGGAAAAATATTGAATTTTATTCAACCAAATATTAAACTTGGAGTGATTTAATTCGAACAGTTTGTGTTTATGAAAAAAATACAAAAGAAGTTTATAAAATAAAATATTGTTAGAATAAATACAAAAAAATTATCTTTTAATGTCGTGTATAGATATATCCTTCAATTTCTTCGGCCATTACAGCTTTTGTTTTAGTAAGTAAAGACATAACTGGATGTGTTGATGTTAATGTATGAGTAGCTGTTTCTTCTGCTCGTTCTAAATATTGTTTTGCTAGTTCCATATTCCCTAGATGTGTTTGAACTACTGCAAGATTATGTAATGTACGAGCTATATCTGGATGATCGCTTGGTAATGATGATTCTTGTAATTTCAATGCACTTTCATATTCTTCACAAGCTTTAAGATAATCTTCAGTGGCTAAATAAACGTTCCCTAAATTAACTCTTGGTATTGCATGATTTGGATGACCTGGTGGAAGAGAGATATCATAAATTTTTTTTGCTTTAAGAAATCTTGTCAATGCTCGATAATACTAAAACAAAAAGAAAAAGACATTAAGATTTATTTGAAAATTTTTTTTGTATCTCACATCCTGTTGATCACAATCAATAGTACCCAAATTAATTAATGTTCCGGCAACATCAACATGTTTTTTTGGAATACTTGTCTTATATAATTTCAAAGCATGTTCAAAACATTCTCTAGCTTTGATTTGTCGTCCTTGTTCACTATAAACAACTCCAAGACCATTTAAAGTTTTTCCTGCACTTGCTAAACGTTTTGGTCGAGCATCCACATGTAAATTGTATGCACGATTATAACATTTTATTGCGCGATTAAAATCACCTTTTAGTCTATGTGTACGACCAAAATTAAAAAATATACAAGCTATTTCTTCATCATTTGGTTTTTCCGAATGAAGAATCGTATCAAAATATCTTTCTGCTTTAGTATATTCACCCATTTCAAGAAGTAAATTACCTAACATGAGAACTATATTTGATTCAACCATCTTTTTCTTTTGATATTCCATATATTCAGCAGCTAACTCAGCACCTTGATCAGTAGCGTGAACTTGAATATGCCATAAATCTTCGTCGGCACTGTATTGACATGAATCAATTTGAAATGATGCTCCTATATAAAAGAAAATAAGAATTTTGTTTTGTAGAATATTAAATTAGATTATACAACGAAAGTATTTCTAATCTTTTGTTTGTTTTTTGCTTTTTTTGCGTTCTTTTTTTTTAAATAATAAAAGGTATTAATCATATATGATGACTATGATCATATACAGATTTAAACTCGCAATAATGACTCTATTTTAGAGGGTGTCAATGATTCATAATAAAATAATGACTCCCTTACACCTATTCTATACTTGTCTTGTCTTGTTTTTTTTCTTCATGTTACTGTCACGTTTTTCTTAGTTTTTTTTTCTTGTTTGAATAATATTTACGTTTCTATAGTATTCTGTCTTCTTTAATCATTTTTATTCAAGTAGTTATAAGAAATAATCATTCATGTAAATACTAAATATTCTCTTACAATCGCTCTAAGCAGAGCGACTATCAGTTGAGAGATGGTTAGAAAAAAAAATATATATTTACTCATAGATATTGAGACAGCTTATTAATGATGATGTTTTGTCAAAGAAACCTATACATCAATATAAAGAATGCAAAAAATGACTAAGAAGACAACAAAAAAGAAGATGTTGATATTAATATAAAAACAAACGATAACATTGGATAACTTTCATTAAACACAAATATCAGGAACAGCACTTCTGAACTTAGTAGTTAGTAGAGTACTTGATAGACATTAAAGATGCTACTTTTCTGTATAAATTTGTTATCATCAATGTGCAATATATAAATTTAAAAAGGCTATGTTCGACATTCTCTTTCAACTTTTGTATTAATTTAGTTCGATGATTTGTTAGTAATATTATACCACTACATAGTCTATAGTATCCTCTATCAAACATTCAAGTATGGTGGTAAAAATTCGTTTAAAAATATGATTATATAAACTATTCCTCAATGTAAATTTGAGATCAAATGACTTACATCTGACCAATGTCTCAAAAAGTTCATAATGCAAAGTAGTCAACGACTTTTTTTTTCTCATAAGTTACTAACTGATTTTTGATTTTTTCAATAATCATGTTATTCGAATGTTGTAATAAGATACGTTCGACATCATAATAAATAACTAATATTATGATTATCTCAATCGAAATGTTTAAATTTAACGATTTAAAATAAATTTTTCTTACCAATATCAACTAAAACTTCAGCTTCTTCTGGAAATGCTGAAAATTCTCGAATATCAGCAATAACAATTTTTTTAACCTCTTCTAAATCAACTCGATATTCAAATAACGCTCGTACAAAACCTTCTCTTCTAGCAGATTTTGTTGCAAAACCATATGCAACTGTACGGTCATCACTTGTTGATAAATATCCATTTGTTGAAATTAAATTTCCAATACTTCTTTGAAAATTTTCTACTTCATCTTGACTTAATTTTGAACCTCGATAAAGTCGAAGAATATCTTTTTGTTTTTCTTGAAGGGTTTTAAATTTTCGTTCAAGTTGTTCACTTAAATCCATAATATAAAAACGAAATTGATATAAAACATCAACATCCTCTGTACGGAGTGCTTTATTAATAAATCTAAAAAAAAAAAAATATATATTCATAAATAAAATAATATATTCTTTTTTCACCAAACTTACTTATAAACAAATGTTTCTTTTGTATACCATGGTATAGCTTCATCTGATTTATATGTTCGATCAAAGTCATCAATATTTTTTAATTCAGTTATATTTCCACGATAATAATTTCGACATGTTGTAACCATAGTTTTTTTGGCTCCAGCGCTTTTTGGCATACTTTTTAATACAATTTTAAATAATTGAAAAAATAAAAATGAACCAGATTCTTTTGAAAGATCCCGTGTTGCTTTTTCTTTTTTGTTATACATACTAAATGCAGTTGTTTGTTTATCGAGTTCTTCACGAGACTTTTTTATACTATCTATAAGTGCGTTTTCACTGTCACACGAATTAACAAGATAGGAATGTTGTGTTTTGGTTATTTCAGGAATGAACCCAGGTGGTGTAGAATAAAAAAATATTGAATCAATTTGTTTCAATTGTTCGATGGCTTCCATGAAAGTCGCCGGTGGTGAACCATCAATTACAAGAAAAGTTTTTTGAGTTATTGGTGTTATATAATCAATACATTCTTTTTCCACAGTAAACGTCTGTAATTATTATTTACTTAAATGCTTTAAAAAAAATTAATATACGAATTAACTAACCTCTAGAGAATTGGTTATTGACCGAAGTACGTTGATAATATTTTCATGTGGTGCTTGGCAAGCAAAATAAACCAGTTTTGCTCCATCACTTTGAGCGTCTTCTTCAATATCACGACCTGTATATTTTTCTGTTTCTTCATTTTCTTCTGGTCGTCCATCGTTGTCTTCATCAAAATCTTCTCGCTGATTCTTTAATTCAGAAAGGTTTTTACGACGAGGCTTAAACCATTTCAAAAACGACATACTAGGAAGTAATATAGAACGAAAAGGTATTCAAATATTTTGTGTCGACTTATATTGTAGACTCGTTTCTTTGCATAAACAAGTTGCCATTATTTGATACGGTCGACTGCTCAAGATAATTATAAAGAAAGAAAATTTTCTGATGTTACACATGCTTATCAAAATACAGTTTTTTTATTCGAATAGACCAATGAGAAAAAAAATTAAAAAAAATAGCATTCTTGCGATTTTGATTGATGAAACTAATAGAAGAAACCATGTCCTGTCAAATAAAAAAATTCTCATGAAAAGAAAAAATCTTCAATATTAGATGCTGTAATAGTTTGCAGTTTATTTGGATATAAATAGCATTATTTTATGAATAATAAATATGCTTATGATTATAGAATCAATAGATTGAAGATGATAAGAGCATGAAAAATAATTATCAAGGACTATCTATTTGTTCTTATTTCTTGAGAGTTTGTTTGGTTTTTGTAATTGTAGATAAAAGATTACAAAAGAGAATAAGCTCAAGAATATATTTATTCTTAAAATACTATACTTTCTTAGAAATCAAACTTGTTTGGTTTTTAAGATTTATCAATCTTGGTTAAATATCAAATTTTTCTTATGTAAATCAGTTATTATCATTGAACACTATTTAGGAAATAAAAATAGAGTATATCAAATATTTTGTCATATTTAAAAAGAGAATATTGTTTTATTTATTGAATAGTTTATTCATTCCATTATATGTATTTATTTGAAATGAAATTTTCTTTTAGTTTTCTTCTTAATCTTATTTTTCATTATGATTCTATAAACTTCTGAAGTGATATGTACATCAAGATTAAGGCAAATCTTTCTGGAGTGCATTGAAGTGCGACGTTACTCTACAATAAAGGACTTGTATTGTTTACATTAATTACAAGGTCGAAAAACAAACATGTAGTAAGGTTTTATTTGATAGCCTTTTTTTTCAAAAAATGTAGGATTCAATAAAGTTTTTCTCAAACGATCTAATAAGATCGCATTAAAATTTATTTTTTTTTCTGATTAAAGTAACGATCATATTCCGTCTATATATGAATAAACAAACCAAACAGCTGTAAACTTTTCTTTCGAAAATGAAAATCATATGCTGTACCCTTTCTATAAAGTCACTGTTTTCAATGTACTTAGCAGTATTTTTCAGTGTCATCGATTGACGGAATTATTTCTATGAACAGGTAAATCATTCTTTGTATTCCAAACGTGATAATAATATAACTATAGATAAAAAAATAAATAAATTATTCAATCGATATGCATTCTCTTGTGTTTTTTTTTCATTTCTTGATACAATTAATTATTGCTACTTTGGAACAGAAAGAATAATCAACTGCATGAATCACACAGTTGTCTCTTTTCTTTCATCCTGTTAGGTGGCTCTATATCCGACACAGAAAAACTCTTCCTATTGAAACACAAACTATACCGTGATAGTCTGGTATTTACAATACATGTTCATCACAGAGCTGGGTAAGTTGAAGGTTTCTCAAGTCACAAGTCAAGTCAAGTCAGACTTGACTTGACTTGAGGCATTTTTGACTTGACTTGCCCAGCTCTGGTTCATCATCATCTTGGCTGGTATTGGCTACTCTACCGGTAGACATGATTCGATTGTATTCCTCATACGACAGCTGCTCTATACACACCTGTTGTATCTCTTCATTAAATTTATTTCTTTAGACAAACAAAAAGTCAATTACATTTTCTGTTTTATGTATTCCAGGTTATATCTACATAATTTAAGAGTTGAATGATTAGCAAATAGTGAGTTTTCTACCATTTTAAGAGCCCGTTCACAATATACAACATCTTTTGAACATTCTTCAATCTTACAAAAAACACAAGTGCAATATATCCATAAGTAGGACAGAAAGCAAGATGATTTGAAGAAAGAATTTTTTGCTGAATATTTAATGCATTTTACTGCGATGAAAGTGCATTTGAATAGTCCCGTATCTCGTGATACACCGAACCAATGTTGTTGTAACAGTCAGCCACATCCTGATGTTACAATGAAAGAATTTTTTAAAAGTACAAGTGTGTCTGTATATTCCTCTTTGTGAAGCTGGGTTGATTCGAGCTGAGAAAAGATAGATGTTTTTTCATTATCATTCATTCTTTGCGCAAATAACGCTCCGTATAAATCTTGGACTTCTTTATACTAGGCTAATTTTAACATCAACATTTCTAATCAAAACCATCCTGTCGGTCCTTTAGTCTTTTCTTGCAATCATTTAGTAAGAAAGTGGATATTTGGATCGTTGTCATTGGTGAATATCAAATCAACTTACTAAAGACAACCATTTCCTTCGATTTATTTCATTGACTTAATACGAAAGGTGAAATGCATGAAGACGAGAATTTCTTCTTCTTCTTCAAAAGAATTAACGGTGAATTCCCGTTTCGTCGAAAAATTTGGTATGCTTTTTTGTCATCATTCCCTTTTCGTCGAAAATGAAAAAACGATTGTTCTCGTTTCATCGAAAAATTAAACTGTCATGAAAAATAGTATAATCAGAGTGATAAGTTAGATTGCTTTGATTGGCTTAAACTATTTCCTTAAAAAAAAACTAATTGATATCCCTATACTAGCAATCTGCATTTTTGAAAAAGTATAAATATGTGGAGGAAAAGAGGAAATTCAATTTTTTTTCTATATTCATTCACTATTACACAAAATGATGCTATATATTGTTGAAAGTAAACGTAATATACCAAATTTAATACTTGACACTTTTCGCTACACACATAGTCAAATTTTAAATACAACTGTTTATTGGAAATGTGAAAATCATTCATGGGTGTTATGGCTGGATGTGGATGTTTTCTTCTTTACACTCACATTCACTCTCATCATGTCCTTTAGCAACTGATATATTGCTTCTACGAAAAAAGTTATTTGTAAATCGAAATGTACGATTACATAAATTAAACGAACGTTTTAAACAGCAAACATTAACGTTGAATAAATTTCTTGAAAGATTTCTGGCACTAATCGGAATAAAAAAGTGTTGTTTTTTTTCTTGTCTATATTCATATTTTCTCCTAATAATTTATTATTTATGTATCTAAATTTGCTCCATAATAAAGTTTTTTTTTGACAAACTGATCTACAAGTAACTAGACACTATTCCTAATTAGTATGACGAAAAATCTCATCAAATCATATAATTTATTCTTCGTTAATTATAAGCAAAATTTATTTTTTCGACGAAACGGAAACAGTCGTTTTCTCATTTTCGACGAAACAGGAATGAAAGAAAAAAAATTACGGCGAAACGGGACCTAATCATAATTAACATCGTGACCGTCAGCAAATGAGATTGACATGAATATACAAATCAATTTTCATCAATGAATAAATCACCAATGAGATCAGAAAATTCGATTGTTTCACGAGCAAAGTTGAAGGGTACATGACGATGTGCATAAGTCAATAAAAAAGTATTAAATGATAAAAGTCCACCTTGTAGTTTGACCATTGGATCAAAGTCGACTTTTGACAGTTCTTATCACGAAGGACAGTAAGAAATTTCATAAATACATATCCAACATATTGTTCCTTATGGTACTCGACACTGTGGTTGTGAAGATCTTGTATGAAAAATCTCATAGTAATAATGAGATCGACCTTCATCATTCGTAATAATCGATTGAGTATTTTATACGGAAAGTATTGGTAGAAATACCACCGAATTAGAACATATTAGTGATATTTCCGTTCGAGTTTGTGGACGTGCTGAAGTTCTTTCGGATTATCAGCGAAAATGTCACGACAATACGCAAAAAATACATTCCTGTATTGTTGATTGAAATTAATTGTTTATAGAATTTCTTTCATTATCTGTGTGCATAAAAGAAGAATCCAATTGGTTAAGGTTTGACTTTCTGATTCCACTATTGGTTTTGACAAAAATCATCAACATTATGTTTTGGTAAGTCTTGTGTCCCTCGTTGAATGGCTTTACAGATAGGAGCAATATGTATATAGATTCCTTTTATTTTTGACTATGGTGTCGTCCATTACTCATGCCGAGCTTGACTGCCACAAAAATTCAACATTGCACCAATCGGAGACATGTTATGTATAATAAGAACTACGATTTACTTCAATGCTTCTAAAGCGAACATAAATATTTTGTCTTATTTGAGATCATATGCTTACAGTTCTTATTATTTTCTGGGTCGATATTATTGTTGAATCCGACGAACAAAAACTTCTGAATCAGACAAGCTTAAGAAGTTCGTCCTGACTCTATGCCCCTATGCTGAGATGACGTGGTAACAACAGTAGCAATTATTGTTGCTGACTTTTTCTTTTTATGCATGGTGTGTGTCGTCTTTGAGCAATGAAAAGCTTAAAATAAAATGGCTTGAATTTATATAATATGTTGGAGTTTTTTTTCTAGATATTTCTATTTTAATAATGATTGTTGTCGTTTGAATAATAAACTCTAACATAGGATTCACAAAAAAATTTTTTTGCATCATATGGTTCTCACACTATTCTGAAAGAAAAACTAATGAAGCTATCATCATTAATTTGTACAAAATATAAGACATAATGAATATAATGTTTTTTGGTAGTTACTTCATTATGCTGCTGTAATTTATATCCAGTTTTCAAAATGAGTTCATTTTGTATCTTCAATAAACGATATTATTTTGAGATCATAGTGCAACTATATCCTTCCATATAAAAAATCGATTATGGATAATTACGTCGATTATTTCTCCATATTTACATAAATGTAACAAATTATTATTTAAAATAATATATAAAAAGATGAATCGTTTGTTCAAACTTATGAAAATAGTTTTGTTGAAAAATAAATAATATATACAAAATATTTTATTTCTTGTAGATTTGCTTTAACATGTCACCAGTGTTTAGTGAAACATTGTCGCTAGTAATCAGTGCAAAATGTATTATTGTTTTCTATTCCAATCAGTTGAACCTTTGAACT